GAGCCCACGCACAATAAGGGGCACACTCTGGACTTAATTATCTCAAAGGGTCTGAATATCTCTAAGGTTGTGGTGACTGATGTTGCACTCTCTGACCATTCCTGTGTTTTCTTTGAGAGCTCTATTTTTGTTCACAAAAATGTTCAAAAAGAGATAACCACAAAGCGATATTTAACTGAAAATACTAGGGAAATGTTTACTCAGAATTGTTCTTCCACACTTGCCCCTGCTAACATCTCAGTAAATGAGCTAGTAGATCATTTTAATTCAAAAATAAAAAATGTTATAGATGCCATTGCTCCAAGGTAAAGGAAGTGTCTGGCAAGAAAATATCTCCATGGAGAAAGGCCATGAGCGTGAAAACAGAAAAAAGAGAATGTCGAAAAGCTGAACGCAGGTGGCGAAAAACAAATCTCCAGGTTCACTTTGAAATCTATAAAGAGAGACTTGGCCTTTATAATTTGGAATTGAAAAACGCACGACAATCGTTCTTCTCTGACATCATTACCAAAAACAAAAACAACGCACGTGCCTTGTTTGCTACCGTCGACAGACTAACTAACCCCCCAGTGTCAGTAGCCTCTGAATTTCTATCCACCAGGGCGTGCAATGAATTTGCCTCCTTCTTCACTGACAACATTCAGAAAATCAGACAAGCAGTCAGTGCCTCTGCATCAGGAACAGCAAATGTGTTGTCTCTGTGTCCACTTAACATCAATTCAAACACCATTACAAAATTCCATCAGATTAATGATAAAAACCTAGAGGACATTATACAACTTCTGAAATCCTCCTCTTGCTGCCTTGATATTATTCCAACAGGATTTTTTAAAGATGTTTTGCCTTGCATGGCCTCAGATCTACTTCATATAGTAAACAAATCTCTTCACTCAGGTATTTTTCCACAGGCCCTGAAAACTGCAGTCATTAAACCGCTCTTAAAAAAGAATAATCTAGATGCTTCAGTAATGAACAATTACAGGCCCATATCAAACCTCCCATTTCTAGGTAAAATCATTGAAAAAGGTGTTTTTCAACAGTTGAGTAATTTCTTGCATTTAAATAACTGTTTTGATGTGTTCCAGTCAGGCTTTCGTCCGAACCACAGCACTGAGACTGCTCTTGTAAAGGTCTTCAATGGCATCCACTTAAACACAGACAGTGGCAGAACTTCAGTGTTAGTATTATTAGATCTCAGTGCTGCGTTTGACACTGTTGACCACAGCATATTACTAGACCGACTGGAAAACTGGGTGGGACTTTCGGAAACAGTTCTAAATTGGTTTGAATCCTACTTAAAGGACAGAAACAACTTTGTTTCTATAGGTAAATACACATCTGAGTTGACAAATATGACATGTGGGGTTCCTCAAGGCTCCATCTTGGGGCCTCTTCTCTTTAACATCTACATGCTACCACTGGCTCAGATAATGAAAAACAACAAAATAAGTTACCATAGCTATGCAGATGACACACACATTTACATAACAATTTCACCAGGAGACTATGATCCAATTCAAACACTGAGTAAGTGCATTGAACAAATCAATGACTGGATGTGTCAGAACTTTCTCCAATTAAACAAAGATAAAACTGAGGTAATGGTTTTTGGAGCCAAGTCAGAACGTATAAAAGTTAGCGCTGAGCTTCAGTCTGCAATGTTCAAAACAACAGATAAAGCCAGAAATCTAGGTGTAGTCATGGACTCTGACCTGAGTTTCAACAGTCACATTAAAACAGTTACTAAATCAGCCTACTATCACCTAAAGAATATATCTAGGATTAAAAGACTAATGTCACAGCAGGATTTGGAAAAACTTGTCCATGCTTTTATCTTCAGTAGACTCGACTACTGCAATGGTGTCTTCACGGGACTCACTAAAAAATCTATTAGGAAGCTGCAGCAGATTCAGAACGCTGCTGCTCGAGTCCTCACTAACACTAAGAAAGTGGATCACATCACTCCTGTTCTGAAGTCTTTACACTGGCTTCCTGTGTGTCAAAGAATAGATTTCAAAATACTGCTGCTGGTTTATAAAGCACTGAATGGTTTAGGCCCAAAATACATTTCTGACCTCCTGCTAAATTATGAACCATCCAGATCTCTCAGGTCTTCAGGGACTGGTCAGCTTACTGTCCCCAGAGTCAGAACTAAACATGGTAAAGCAGCGTTCAGTTATTATGCTCCAAATATCTGGAACAAACTCCCAGAAACCTGCAGGTCCGCTGCAACTCTGACTACTTTTAAATCCAGGCTGAAGACTTTTCTTTTTGTTGCTGCTTTTAATTGAACTATTCATATCTTAGACTGCACTGTAACTTTTATCCATGTACTTTTTCTTTTAATGTTTAATTGAACTATTCATATCTTAGACTGCACTGAAACTTTTATCCATGTATTTTTTCTTTTAATGTTTATTTTATTAGCTTTTCTTTTTAATGACTGATTTTAAATGCCTTTTTCTTAATGTCTTTCATTTTTTGTAAAGCACTTTGAATTGCCTTGTGTTGAAAAGTGCTATATAAATAAACTTGCCTTGCCTTGCCTTATTGTGGTTAAACGGTGAAATCTTGTTCATTGTAAGTACTTTGTCTCCACTGCAGCGGGTAGCTCGCTCTAAGCGTGCCGAGCCGTGCGGGGCCCGTTTTTTGTTGCGTTTCCACTTGGCCTAGTTTTGGCCCGGGGCTACTTTTTCACCTTTTTGCTGGCCCGACTAAATCGTGGTTCTAGGGCCAGGAACAACCAGGCTGAGTCGGGCTGAGTATGCTATAAACTAGAGAGAATCGCTGGCAAGGGGGCTACAACTACAACAAGATGAACATATTTGACCGTGATTTAATTGTAATACACGTTTCAAAATGATGCCGAAGTAACAACATACTGATACCGGTTAGTAAAAACCATGAATTAATGCTTTGACAAGTCTGCAGACAGACGGCAGGCGAAAAACCCTTTTAAAATGCGTGTTTTCTAAATGTAGCTTGGCTAAGCTAACGTTATATATGCTCCGACCGTCCACACTCACAACAACGGCCTATACAGACATAAATAAAGCAGCGACTGTATTCGCCATGACACAGGCAGTCTGTGGTTTGTACTTGTTTAACTTTTGTCTAGTTTCTGAACAGATATGAGGAGCTCTGAGTGCTAAGAGCTAACGGCTGTGTTGTTTTTCTGGGGCTCTCATTGAAGATGACGTCACGGCTCCGCCTACACTGCGTTACTATAGTAACTGCCCCAGTTCATAAACTGTAATGGAAGCGCAGCATTAAAGTGAGCCAGGGCCTAATAAGGCCTAACCAAACCGAGCGAGGCCTGCAGTGGAAACGCGCCATAAATGGAAGGGGCACCTTGTATGGCAGCCTCTGCCTCTTTATAGGTGAATGTTGACTTGTATTTGTAAAAGCGTTTAAGGGGGCGCAAAGACAGTGCTTTCATATTATTACATCAATACCAGCTAGCTCCAGATGAACCTGTTTTTTTTAATATGAAAGCCTACTATTATATTTTTTTGATCATCATTGTAACATTTGATTTAATCTTCCCAGAAACAGCAATCATACTCACTAGACAAGTTGAAGAAAAGTTGACTTTTTAAATTGCATGACTGAAGTTTTGAAAATATGAGTTTTGCAATGAGAGTCTTACAACCACAGAAAAGGAGCAGCGCTGTGAGAACTGAGAGTCTCTCAGACTGCGATCAGGAACTGACTGACAGCTCGCCCACTGTGCCAAGGTCACACCTTTCATTATGTGTGTACCAGACTGGCAGAATAAGTTACTCAGTTCATTAAAGGGTTTCTATTCTGGACTTTGATGCCAGACTATATCTTCAAAAGGAAATAACACATTACACTTCTAACAAATCAAAAGTAGAATTTTTAAGCACGCCGAGGGACATTACAACTTAGATTAATAGATTAAAACTGTTATATTACAGTTGCGGATTGAATTCATCTATAGCTTTCATCATTGCACTTTATATCCCATCAATTCAGTGAAAGTCAAAGTAATGGTCATGCGGTAGGGTTTTCTCTCAACTATTTTAAATAGAAAAAAAATAAACATCAAAAGGTACATTGTGGCAAATAATTCTTAATTTTCTTATTCCAATTAAAAAAACATTAAAAATACAATAAAAAAAAATCAAAATTGTCTGATTTGTCGGCCACATTAGAATATATCCTGTTCTGTCATTTTTTGAAAGTATGCATAAACGTTGTTACAGCAATAAAATACTTAGTGTTCTGCTGTTTATCTTGATACCAGACACATATGAGTTTTTTGTTGAGGGAAAATTCCAGATGCCGTGGCGTGCACCAACCGATTTTTTCACATTTGAAACTACACATATAGAAAAACAAGTGGGCACACATGAACATTTGAACTTTCATATACCCGACTCTGGCCTTAACACTCATGTGAATAACTTTGATTTACGAGAAGTAACATTTGGCCGTGCCTCAGGAACTCTACTTTGTTGGCAGACGCTAAAGAAAAAACGAGAGATTAATTACTGTACAATGTTTTTTTTTATTACAATTAGAAACACCAAAACAAGACTTTTAATAGCTAATGCTGATACGTGTTTGGTCCATTTATAACACATGGACATTAGGAAGTTGGATTGCGAATGTCTGCATAATCTGTGAACTATTGCTTTAAAACTTACAATTAATAAAACTTTTAAAACAGCATTTTAGAAACATTTCAGTAGGGAACTGCAGAAAAAATGTACAAGGCTCTGCATGTTATAATTTAAAATAGCAAAAAACAACAGATAGTTTACTTTACAAAGGGAAACAACATGTTATTTCTTATTAGAGAATTTAAGAACAAGCAACTACAACTGAATAGTAATGACAGCATTTATTTAAAGAAATTCTGCCAAGCTCCAAACAAAATGTATTTAAATTAAGATAACCTGACGTTTTTTTAAAATTAATTTTAGATTCAATTATAGATATTCTGACTAAACATCATTGTATTGACTTCACAACATGCCACGGTTTAAAGATGCAGCTATTTATATGCTGAAGATTGCAGTGAAACTCACATCTTTGTACCGGTTGTTTGAGAGGAATCACTAAGAAGTAATTTGCGACTGACATCTCTTTTGAATTAAAACACATTTGAATCATGATCTTTAACTCTTTCATCCTTGATTAACAATTATTTTATGGAAAGTTTATCAACTCATCATAACATCTTTTTTGTTCAATTATTTTACTGTTCAGCATTTATTTTTTAATGCAACTTAATACATTCCTGCTTTTGATATATATAAAAGATAAGGAAATGCAACTTCAGTTATTCTACATATTTAAAGACTATATTTAAACCTCTTAATTCAAACAATTTCAATCTACTTTTGTTAAAAAATTGTTTAAGGTTGTTCATAAAATAATAAGATATCAATTACTGACTCCTAAATCTAAACTACTGCATGGTGCACCATAAGCAGATATAAACAGCATACTCCATATTTGTTGTAAATGAGAATACAGAAGAAATATGACAAAGCAAACTCACAAAACTGTACTTACTCAAAACAAATGTATTGCCATGTGTCTGGTTTTACTTTGTATTCAAACATCCCTTGAGAAAAATGTGCACAAAGTCTCTTATCATCACGATGAGCACGACATAAAGCACTTTTCTCCCTTCAAAGTGAAATTATTTCAAATGTCCTCTCCTCCTACTCACACATCTGGAGCTGAGTTCTCCCACCGACTGCCCCACAGCTCTCTGAAGTGCCAACATTGGTGAAAGAGGCTGAAGAGTGGTGGCTCTGCAGGAACTTCTGCTTCCCTGTGAACCTCTTGCACAAGTTCTGGGCACTTCGTCTGAAGTGATTGTCCAGGAAAAAGTAAATGGCCGGATTCACACAGCTGTTGAGGAAGGCCAGGCATCCCGACAAGAGGAGCCCGTTACTCTGCCAAGACTCAGCTTCACAACTCAGGTCAGCTTCGGAGAGCTTCGTGCTGATAACGATGACTTTGAAGATGTTAAAGGGGAGCCAGGACACCACAAAGGCCAATATGATGGAGAGGACCATTTTCAGGGAGTGCCTGTGCCGCGCTTCAGCCCGAGGATTGGCAGCACAGTTCTGATTGAGATACATCATTATGGTGCCATAGCAGAGCACGATGATCAACACAGGGATAACAAAAGTGAGTAAAGCCATGGCGAGGCTCAGGCCCAGAAAAAAGGGTGAGTTGTTTTCTTCCACGCAGGAGAGTCCATCCCCTGAGGGCGCCACTCTGCGGTACAGAAGAGATGGGATACCCAGCACCAGAGAACTCAGCCACACAGCAGCACATGTCGCCCGGATGCACCTGCTGCTCCTGAGGTACCTCGAGTCCATCAGCTTCACCACCGCCAGGTAGCGGTCCACACTCATGCAGGTAAGGAAGAAGATGTTGGAGACGCGGTTCACAGCTATGATGAAGCTGCTCAGTTTACACAGAAGGTCTCCAGCTGCCCCAAAGTCCCAGTGGCCGCTGCGGCTTGCAGACATGGCCCACAGAGGCAGAGTGAGGACGAAGACGAGGTCTGCCAGGGCCAGGTTGACAACAAAAGTGTCCACCAGACGCCCACTTTTCCTACCTTTGCTGCCCACCACCAAGATCACAAAGAGGTTGCCCAGGAAACCTGTGAGGAATATCATGTAATACAGTATGGGCAGGAAGATGTTGGAGCCACTCATGTGTGAGCTGGGACAATCCACCGTGGCATTGAAAATAAACAACCCAAGGTCAGTAAAGTTCTCACTGTAATTGTAGTAATCATAATACTCGGTGAAGGCGTACATCGTGAGAGATCACAGAGAGGCTCTGCAGCTGCTGTTGTGTGGCAGGGTGGTTAGTCTATGCAACATGCAGCTACTGGGTATTGTAAAAAAACCACAGAGAAAAATAGATCCTTTTTCAACTCTTACCCCTCTGTCTGTGATAACTTCCTCTTTGTTACATTTCCACATGTGATTGGCTAAAAGGAAGAAATTGCAACCTTTTGCTTCATTTCATTAAATTATCAGTTCACAGTTGCAGTGGTTTGACCTGGTTATGACTTTCCTGTTGCAATCTAACTTAAATGAAAACATATTTTCCTACTGTGTGTGTGTGTGTGTGTTTATGTGTGTGTGTGTGTGTGTGTGCGTGTGTGTGTGTGTGTGTGTGTCCACCTCAAATGTCATATCTGCCTAATAATAATCTTTTTTTTAAAGGTAATCTGTACTATCACAGTTGTTATTTTACTTAAGTTATGCAAATACAAGTAATAGCCTTTAAATGCACACAATGTATTTGCATAAAAAAAGAATATCATCTTTATTTATTTATTTTTGTTATAATGAAATATCATTGAATAAAACGTATTGATGTTGCAGCTGGTAAAAAAAGTTGCAGCTGGTAAAAAAAGTAGAATCTCTGAATCTGAATCTTCTTAATCTTCTTAAACTGTCAGATACATTTAATGGAGTACAAACTACAACAGCCTCTGATATGTAATTGGATAGTAGCAAAAGTAGCATAAAATGGAAATACTTATATAAAGTTAAAGTACCATAAAAATGTACTATTACTGTTTAAGTACGTTTATTTATACTATGAGTGTGAATTACCTTCCACAGAAAGTATTTGTCTTTAATCACGGTGTATTGGATGTGTGTAACCAGTAGAGGGCAGGTAAGATTTACTTGTGTTTCCTGTGTGGCGACCTCCTGCCTGCCTGGGTTCAGAAGCAAATGTCACTGATCTTCTGCCCAAGAAATCTTTTGTTTCACTGCGTATTTCCATTTTATTTGTGAAAAGACACTTCCAGTTCAAGCTGTGAATAAGCAGGATGAATCAATGTCAGATAATATATCCGCCTCCTTTTATTCTTTATTCAAATCAGAGTATTTCACACATGTTCAACAAATATTATTATGTGCAGGCTCCGTTCACTTTAAATCCTTAATACCTTACGTTAATGTTTCCTTTTAAGCTACAGAGAAAGTGCCCTCAACTATTCGTGTGTGAGGCCCCTCAAAACTGTAGATCCACATAATGTTATCACTTCATACTGTATTAACGTTACATTCATCATGACCATGTTGTTCTGATTAAAGGTAACATTATAGTGACCCTTCAAAAGATATAGACTTTATAAAAGAAGACACAAATTAGACAAACAAGGTTAGTTCAAATCCAATATTCATCAGCAGTCCCTTGGCAGCTCACCTTCAAAACACACAGAGAAAACATATTACAAAACAACACAGCAAGCAATGACTTTTACTCAAAAACAGAACTAAAGATGACGTTTTAAATATGCAGATATCAAATGTCAAATGCTGATCATGGACAAGCAGCTATACTGTCTTATTGAAACTTTTACTTTCAGTTTCTCGATTTGAACTGTTTTGTTTTCATGTTCACTCTGTTACCAACTATGTGTAGAGACGGTAGAGACCAGTTAGCACTGACTCAGCATAAATGATTGTTTAGAGAAAGTGTGATTGTTGCCAACAATTAGATAGCAAACTGCTTTCTGCTGTGCACAAGTCAAAAGGTGATTAATATATATTTCATCTTGTTTGTCTATAGTGTAATATTACCATTGTAATTGTAATCAGATTATCCAAATACATGGAAAGAGCCTATAACTTACTGCCATGTTGCTTGAACCTGAAAATGACAAACAAATCAAAGATCATTTTCATGCACAATGGACTATAACCTGGTCTGAAGAAGCAGGCAGCGTCTTTTGATAACATGATCTTACTGATAAAGCCGTTGTTTTTAATCAGCTGCCGGGGATATACTGTCACAACCACACAAACCAAGATGAACCCTGAAACTGCTTGACGAGGCATTGTGCATGAGCAGATAATCCTTACCAAATACTGCACTGGTGCACAGGGTGGCTGTGGCTCAGTGGGTAGTGTGCTGGACTTCGAATCAGGGGATAGCAAGTTTGAGTCAGCATGTCGTTGTGTCCCTGGGCAAGACACTTCACCCCAAATTGCTCCTGTGGGGATTGTCCACAGTACTGAATGTATGTAAGTCGCTTTGGATAAAAGCGTCTAACAAATGGCATGTAATGTAATGTAATGTTTCCGTATGGATGGTATGATTCAACCAGCTGCTCAATGCCTCTATGATTCACCCTGGTGAAAGATAACAGAGAAGGCTTTGGCAGCCATTGTTACAGGGAAGGAAACGGTCATCACGACTACCTCCTCAGGAGATATTAACTCTGTAGTCCAGCTCTCAGCTATTGTGCTGAAGATGTTGGAGGACAGGCCGGAGAACGCCCTATTGTTCTGCAGGACAGTTTCAGTTAAGAAAGCAAAGCGAATGAAAGACCTCCTTATAGGATCCCTGCTCCACTTTCTGGCATAGTGCGTTATTCAAACACTCTTTGTAGTGTCAAGGTGATGGGTCGATATACTCATCACGGCAGAAAATCCTGTCAGTCCCGCTTTGTTCGGTTTGACGACGTTCTCCCTCATGCTCAGCTGTACCTTTTTCCTTTAACAAGTTTTAATTATTTCTTCTGCATTCTTGCTGCCCTGTCAGTGGAACACTACATTCCTCTCCTCGAATAAGTGCTGTCTCACTCCAATTGAGCAGAGTAAATGTGAGAACCAGTGAATGGAGCAGCCTCAATAGGAGAAAATAAACAATTGCATTGGTCCATGGGTGCAGCGGGGGAGAGCGGATGAGAGGAAGGGAGAAAGGCCTCCCTAACGTGCTAAGATTCCCATGGATACTCAGTCCTTTTTCTGTTGAGAGGAGGATCTCGTAAAGTACTTCAACAGTGGATGATTTCTCTTTTCCTTTGACCCTGTTTTTATTTGAGGAGAGAAAGGGTGGTATGCGTCAGGGTGATTGTTAGACATAGGGGGGTCACATGCACACACGTGCGCACTCGTATACACACACACACTACATACACACACACACGTACAATTTGCTCCTCACTTGTCGAGTGCTAAGTTTAAAAACGGAGTCCATTGTTTGGGTGTGAAAGGTTCTTGTTTTAGCTGTTTAACTGAATCAAAAGTTCCTTCAACACAAAGGATAGCACCCTCAGGCCTCCATTATGTGTCATTTTAAGTGAGGAGGGGCGTTCAACTGTTCCTGTTGTTAAAAAAAAAAACTTCATATTTTAAACCCACTTTCTTTAACCTTCACACAACGGATTTTTCTCTCATTAGAAATCACATGATGGATGCATTTTACCAGCACCTAAAAGCCTAAAGCACAAAAGTAAAAAGTTCTATAGGAATACAAAGAGTTCAAAAAATATATATATTATGATGAATTTATCACAGTTTGTCAGTTTGTGCATATAGGCAAAGTCCAATTTGAGGATAGAAATAGCTCAAGCTAGAAAATTGATATCAGTGAGAGAGCATTTTTCAGATTTGAGTTGATAGGTGGTTGATGACCTTTTCAAGATGATATCCAGGCATGGCTTCATTAAGATATTGTTGGGTTTTGGCTACCATTTGACTCAATTGTTCTGGGGGCTCACTTAGATTTGTGTTTACTAGCTTTTAACTTGGTGGTTTATGCCTGAATTCAATCAATCAATGTTTATTTATATAGCCCAATATCACAAATGTTACATTTGTCTCAGTGGTCTTCACAGTGTGTACAGAATATCAGTATGACAATACGACACCCTCTGTCCTTAGACCCTCACATCGTACAAGGAAAAACTTCCGGAGAAAACCCACAGTTGAAAGGGAAAAATGGGAGAAACCTCAGGGAGAGCAACAGAGGAGGGATCCCTCTCCCAGGACGGACAGACGTGCAATAGATGTCGTGTGTAAATTGAAAAGATAATACATTTGCAACATAGGTAGTCCAAATGTTTCTAAATGCATGTGTGTATAATAGGAAGATGAATCCACGAGGATATCCATCCAGGACCTATGATCCAGGACCACAGCCACGACTCAAGATCCAGGGTTCGCGATCCAGGACACAGGACCGCAGGATCATCCATGTCTCCGGATCCCGGCGTATATAGACACCAAAAAGAAAGAAATTTGGGGAAGCTGGGTTAATCGGAACATGAGAGTACACAGGTATAGACAGAGAGAAGGAAGAAGTAAGATGTCCCCCGACAAACTAAGCCTATATCAGCAAAACTAGGGGCTGAATCTAATCAGCCCTAACTATAAGCTTTATCAAAAAGGAAGGTCTTAAGCGCACTCTTAAAAATGGATAGGGTGTCTGCCACCCGAACACAAACTGGAAGCTGATTCCACAAATGTGGAGCTTGATAAGAAAAGGCTCTGGCTCCAATTGTACTTTTAGAGACTCTAGGAACAACCAACAACCCTGCATTCTTGGAACGCAATGCCCTCATAGGACAGTAGGGTATAATGAGTTCTTTAAGGTAAGATGGTGCCTGCCCATTAAGGGCTTTGTAGGCGAGAAGAAGAATTTTAAATTATATCCTGTGTTCTATAGGGAGCCAGTGTAAGGCAGCCAGAACAGGAGTAATGTGCTCCCTCTTCCTAACTCTGGTTAGTACACGAGCTGCAGCATTTTGAATCAGCTGAAGTGACTTGACTGACTTCTTGGTACACCCTGATAATAAGGAGTTACAATAATCCAGCCTTGAAGTAACAAATGCATGGACTAGTTTCTCTGCATCGTTTTGAGGCAAGATATCCCTGATTTTTGCAATGTTACGTAGATGGAAGTAGGCGGTCCT